TGTTGCTCAATAATCACATTAAAGAAATTGAGATGAAACTGAGAATAAGCTTTTTTAAAATGTGAAAACTGAGTTGGAGAAGGAGGAGATAGAGCTGTAAACTTGTATATATGGGTGAGATGCAGACCTTTCAAAAAAGTTGTGCTTTTGGCTTCACTTAATTATATGTTACAGAGAGATGGGTAAGAAGAGTCAGGGACTGGATTAGTAGAGAAGAGCAAGGGGCTTTAATGTCAGGTGCCAGAATTCGCATCAGGACAAGTAACTCAGCCTTGCTGAGCTTTGGTTTCCTCTTTATAAAATGGGGCCGAGGATAGTCCTTACTTTATAGGATGGAAAAGCTCAGCTTGATCAGCACATTCATTGTTTGGCACACAGTAAGAGCACAGTAACCCTTGCCCAGGTGTGTCAGGCGACTGAGGTGGCAGCTCTCCTTCCTATCCTGGCTGCTAGGATGCCAATTATTGAGTGAACTTGTCAGCTCTGGCAGTCCCCCTGCTGCAAGAGTTCATTCTCAGTTCTGCAGAAGAATGCATCTGCCCTATAAAATGCCAGAAATCTGATACCGTCTGTGGAAGAGGGATGTGGTGAGGAGTGGGGAAGGGCTGTCTTAAGCTATTCAACCTTCTCAGGATCCTAATTGGGCCTTACCTCACTCATGGGTATCTTTTTTATTGTTGGTATTTTTTTTCCTTCCTTTTCTGTAACAACCATTAGCCTTCATTACCAGGAAACCAGAGTATTGAAAGGCTGTATAATATGGAAGTCCCTTGGGGCAAGAAAAATACTTTCAAATTCAATTGGAAGTTTATGTTTATAAATATATCTCTCTTAAGTGTTGATAACATTGTAATCAAACCAAATCAAAAGGAGTCCTTAAGATCAAGGCAGAAATGAAACCCAAGATTGTTGTGCTTTCCATTTTCTTAATCAAAGATCTGAGAGAGAAATGGCTGGGAGAAATAAGTTCAAGGTTGATACCTGTTTCTTATACCAAGGTGTGCCTTTAGGTTGGCCCAAGGACAGTGAGGTGCTTGTGAAGCCTTCACAAGTTGAAACGGTTCATTTGAGAAAGAGGTCGCCAGTTTTCTGCCCACATCTAACTCATGAAAGTATTTTAATGCTTCGGAAGATTTTTTCTTCAGTATTTCTCAGTCTCTCTCATCTTGTTCTCTCTCTTCCTTGCAGATCTGGGTTCGGAAGACAAGTGACAGCACTAAAATGAGGATCTACTTGGGCCAGCTTCAGCGTGGGCTCTTTGTGATCCGCCGGCGGTCAGCGGCTTGACTTTCTGCAGTGTTCTTCCCTTGATCCTTTTTCTGGAGTGGTTTTTATTTTTGTCTTGTTTCATTTTCTTCTTAATAGAAAATTTTTAACTTACTGGGAATAGCTGCTTGGCCTTGGAAATGGACAACAGTGTTGTGGATTCTGCAAGGCACTTCTGTGGCTGGCCACTTCCATCCTTGTGTCACTCTTTCCTGCCTTGACCTCTTCCAGACGTCAGTCACC